CGAAATCAATGGAAAATGGTGTTCTAAAATACTACTAATAAGATGGAATAAATCAATAAACTAAGACACTAGGGAGAACAGGAATCCGCCTAACCATTGGTAACTAAGCAACAAGGAATCACAGAGACAAACGGGATATGCAAAGACTATAAGTCTGATCAATATCATGTGATAGGAAGACAACGGGCAATACTAAGCTTGGATTTCTCATGCACTTAACATTACTCGATACATAATCAAACCACATTCAATAATGAAATACTCAATTCACAATCTCTTGTTCAAATCAAGAATATCATGCAATCAAATTCAAGATTCTAGGTTAGCTACTCCTATTATAATGAATTAACATGCAATCGCATATAATCAATTTAATCACAATCCGTTTATCAAAATCAATCCTCAATTACATAGATTACCTAGGCCGGGTTTCATCCCGAAACCCTAGCTAGGAGACTACTCACACATATTCATAATCAAAGCAATAATGAATTCCAAAAGCATAATAGATATAAACATGAATTCTGATTAAGGAATAATAAAGCTTGATTAATAAACAAGAATGAATAATACCAATTGTATTGATGCGAATCAATAGAAAAGTTCAGAACTTTGATATCCCTCGTCAATGAATAATACAAAGAATCTTCGCAAATCTTGCTTCAAATCAATCCAAGAAAACTAAAATCTCTAGAAATATCTCTAAGAAAACTAATGAATCTCTAATACTAAGAACGTTCTCCAATAACTCTCTACAAAGGCTCTCAAAAACTATCTCTAAAACTGTCTTAGGAATCCTCTTAAAGTTGGGCCTTATATACGTCTTCTAATGCGGAGAAGTCAAGCGCGCAGTTAACCCTGGATCAGCACGGCCGTGCTGTATTTGGCACGGCCGTGCTAGCTTGTCAGTAAGTAAACCAGATTTCTTCTTCAAATTGGCACGGACGTGCTATATATGGCACGGCCGTGCAGCTTCCTGGCACGGCCGTGCTAAAAATGACACGGCCGTGCTGAATATGCTCTAGCACGGGGCTCATACTGAAGCTGACACGGGCACGGGCAACATCTGGCACGGCCGTGCTAATGGCCTGCACGTCCGTGCGGGTGCGTGGATACTGACACGACCGTGCTATTGGCTTGCACGGCCGTGCTGCCTTGCCTGGGGTTGCTTGCTTATAGGCCAGCACGGGTGTGCCTATGGTAACACGGTCGTGCTGCCTGTGCTATGTAATCAATGCACGACACTTGAACTTCCTTAACTCCTCGGACTCCGGTCAAGGCTAGCTCGGTTACGCATCAAGGGCTCGGGATCCGATTAAACTCGGTTGATATTACCTGAAAACACATCAAAAACAAACCGAAAACCCGTGAAGCACGTAATATGGGGAACGTAAGCATAACAAGGTAATAATCGGCCAAAGCGGCCCCAAATACATCCAAAATCATCCTAAAATATGCTCTAAAGCGCGCCCTAAAGTGCGCTTGTCACTAGGCTTAGATGTCTTTGATGGACGATCTTCCTTCCTTATATAGATGCTGATTAGGGTTTTTAATTAGTCGTTGCAAGGTGTTTAACGGTGCCCCTAAATCTTTGGAAGCCACCCCGTCATTATCTTCGCCTTGCCTACTCTTCTAACGGCTTGACACAGCTGTCGTGTGGACTTGGTCACTCATGCTTATCTTCTCCTAAAAAGTCGGAAGGCAGTTGATGCTTATTTCGATCGTCGAGGCCAATTAGTCTTCGTCCGTAGGCGTCGCTCGAAGTGCGCCTACGTAAAAGCATGTGGTAAATATGCTTGGCGCTCTTAGGAAGCAGGAATTGACGTATACGATTAGGGACAAGGAAAGTAAGGAGCCGCCAACAAGTTTTTAAGGAACCTGTAAACCGTTCACGAATCATAAAAGGCAACCACGATAAAGGGACAACGATAGGCAACAATGATTGACCCGTGAAGGTTACACCCCATTCATAATCCATAAGATTACTAACTCCATATGGTCCGGATCCACGAAAGGAGGATCAGGGATGATGGTACGAAGTGAGTCATGGAGTCACATTCGCCCGTATGTCCTCTACTCGATTCTTATAGTGAAAAGTGATTCCTGCGATCTCAAAGGCATGCAAACAAAGATTCAATTTGCTCCAAATTATTATTTTGCTAAATTGGTTTAATATTAATGCAACACATTATTCTAAAATATTAGTGATCACTTGATTTAATAACAAGATTAAAAGGAACCTAAACCGGTTGTCCAAATTATCTTATTAGGCGTCATTTTCAATTACATATTCCCTTTAAACATGCAATATAGTGATCATAATAACAATAGAATAAACATTAATATTGGAAGCAATTTAACAATAATAGCGTTAGTCAAATCAAATATAAAATAACCCTAATCATGATACTAGCAATATTAAAATAAAATAAGAGTTATTAAATTAATTAATTACCCACATTCCGCACGTTCCTTTAAATTGCTACATCATGAATAAATTGTTAGTAACTTCAATTAAAATATAAATTAAATAAAAATTAAATTAAAAAGTAGAGTTGATTTGGTCCAAACCCTTAGCTATTTATACCTTTCACGTCTAGGTTTAAGGACGGAACCTCAGGTTTAGTATAGACTCCTTGGAGTGCTTAAGGGAAGTAATAATGTAGTTAGGAATATATGTTTAAGGCTTAGAATATGGGAGAGAGAAGGATTTGATGATAATTCTTGTTTATGATTGGAAAAGGGGTGATATGACCTCTATTTATAGGAAAAAAAAGAAGGGTCGAAGAATTAAGATAAGATCCGAATTAAATCGGAATAAAACTCGATAGACTGCAGTTTTTGCGGTTTTTGTTTTTATCATATCTTTTGATTTAGAAATCGGAATAAGATGAATAAGTTATCGTTGGAAAGATCTTGAAGTATACTTTCTAACCCAATTAAAATCAGATTAAAATTATAGAATAAAAGATATGGCCGAAATAGTGAGACGGTGTCAGTTTTGGATAGAGTTTGATATTTCATTCATATCTTTTCCATTATAGCTCGGAATTGATATTATAATATATCATTGGAAAGATAATTTCAAGGGCTATCCAAAAATTTAAAATTTGGATAAAAACTATGAGGAAAGAAAATAATATCTGTCTATCTTTGAATGTCTTTCAATCCGAATAAAATTAGGACTTTAAAAAAAAAGGAGTTTTTTATTCAATTTCAAAGTCTTTAATCTTATCTTTTCAAAAAGGATAATTAGGATCTTTTAGAAACTTTTAGAAGTTTCTAATTAATCCTAATTGGTTTAGGAATTGGATTAAATCATTTGGACCCTCCACGTGATCATTGGGTCGTAGGTAAGGTGGGCTTAGGTTCGGTTGGGCTCAGTTTAATATTTTTGCCATAACTTATTCGTTATAACTCGGATTTGGGCTTATAATATATCGTTGGAAATCTCTTTTTAAACCCCATCCAAATAATCAATAATTGGAACCAGATTATGGACCAAAATAAACTGATATAAACGTTTTTATAAAAAGGACACGAAATGAATGATTTTAAAGGACACGAAATGAATTAATTTAGTTTAAAGGCACAAAAAGAGGACAATAAGTTATGGTTTGGGGAAATGGGCTAGGAATTGGGTTGGTTTAGGAAATGGAAATATGGATTTAAGCAGTTCAAGATTAAATACTCAACCTGACCAATAATGGCGGTGAAAGGTTGTTCATCATCGGGTTTGGTTTTAGGGAGATTTTTTTAGGTGTCTACATCGTCACACTTCTAGTCTTCTTCGCTTGACCCTAGTTGAATGTCGTTGACTGAGGCTCACAGATTTTTACCCATAACAGTTTTTGTGTATAGGTTTTGGATAAGGATAGCAAAAAGAAGTCGTCGTGGAGGCCATGGCTTTCAAGAGACTCAACTATTAATGAGGATTTATTAGACGGAATTAGGAATTTGGAACATTCTAGGATTTTTTATAACAAACAAGACACTTATACATTTATATTTCATGGCACCAAGATAGTGTTTTCATACACATTTTCTACTCAGCAAGAGCAAATTTTGATGAGACCACCCCGTAATAATGAAATAACTCTAAATGCTTATGAAGAGTGTTTGGTGTTGCACAAAGGATTTGGCGGTCAGATCGATTTTGACATCATATCCTTCTCATGACAACGAAACAGATTTGGATTCTGTGGCTTGGCAATTTTTGGAAGATTATGAGTATAATTTACACATGTGAACTTTACAAATGTTTTGTACGAGTACATGATAGTAGTTAGTGTTGAAATCTAGTAATGCATCCGAATACTTTGGTTTGTGATCCTTTGTGCTTTATCCATGTTCAATCTTGTTAATGCCTTCCTCCATTACCTCATCGTTTAGCGTCAAAACCCGAACTTGGTTATATGTGAGTTATAGAGCTCTGTCTCGTGGTTGCTTGGGGGAAGGCTGCGGCGCGAGTTTTCCCGCAGGTGGGCAGTTTTTTTGAGCTTCCATAAGAGGTCGCGGGACAGACCCGCGGGTTTTTCCTGCGGGCGCGAGTTCGGGGTTGCGGGCGCGGGTTTTATCGAGTGAAGAGAGGCGGTTTTGAGTGCTTTGTTTCCTTTTTATTTTAATCTCCTCACGTGTATATATACATATATATACTAACCAAAAATCATTATTGATTATACACTCCTTGAAACCCTAAACACTAAACACAAACCTACCCTTTGAGATTTGAACAGTTCTTGAGCAATTCCAACCTTCGAATTTGGGTACACGAATTGCGGAGGTCGTTGTGTAAAACTTGGGGGGCATGCGTCACTAGGAAATCTGTACCAGTGGTGGCGTATTTCGCTTCTAAGGCAGTGGATTCCAAACCACGGCACAACAGAAGGAGGTCGGATCTTGATTGATTGTAACATATTGCTTGTCTTTGTTCTTGACTTCAACAAGTATTTTTCCAACAATTTAGAAGCGAAATATTTATTATTAGATCTATTGATATCATGAATAGAAATTCTCAATCTCGTTTATACCTAGATCTATCTAAGGCTGAGTCTCTTGATGGAATTAATTATAAGAGATGGTCACAAAGAATGTTGATTGCTTTTGAACAAGTAGAAGTTGATTATATCTTGTTTAATGATTCCCCAAAACCTATCCCTCAGACCAATGCTGTGATTGATATTCCTAGTACCCCTGTCGCTGGGAATAAAGAATTTATCCCTATTCAGACTACTTCCTCTGTTATTGCTAATGAATCTGAAATCAAGAAATTTGAACGTGATAAAAAGCTTGTTAGGGGTCATCTTCTGAACCACATGAAAAATAACATCTTTGATTTGTATATTAAATTCAAATCTGCCAAGGAGATTTGGGTGTCTTTGGAAAAGAAATATGGGGCTGATGATGCCGGGAAAAAGAAATATGTGACTGGAAACTGGTTGAATTTTAAGTTGGTTAATACGAAACCTATCATGGAGCAAGTCCATGTGTATGAAAATTATGTTGCTGAAATTCTTGTTCAAGGTATGAAGATGTGTGAGATCCTGCAGGCAAATATGTTAATTGAGAAATTACCTGAATCTTGGTCTGATTATAGAAATCACCTCAAGCATAAGAAAAAAGATCTAACTCTCGAAGAGTTGGTGAGTCATATGAAAATTGAAGAGGCAAATTGCCTTAAGGATTCAATCCCCAAGCCGAAAAAATGAATTGGCTGTGAAAGCAAATCTGGTAGAACTCAATTCTGACAATGAAAGGAAACCTGACAATCGTGATGGCAAGGGAAAATCTAGAATCTACAATAAACTCAAGCCTAGAAGCAAGATTGACAAGTCCAAGACCAAATGCTAGAACTGTGACAAATTGGGTCACTTCGCTTTGAACTGCAAGGTTAAAGGCAAGATGGATCAGAAAAATAATGGTGGGAAGAAAGGAAAATTTAAGAATCAAGCTCATCTAGCTGAGGATGAGGATGACGATGTTATTGTTGTGGTAGTATCTGAGGTCAACTTGGTAGAAAATAACTCAGAGCGGATTTTTGACACAGGAGCCTCCAAATACTTTTGTGCCAACAAGGATCTGTTCGCTACTATGGAGGAAGCCAAAGAAGGTGAACAAGTCTTCCTGGGGAACTCAGCAGTTCTGAGGTGCTAGGGAAAGGAAAGGTGATACTTAAGCTGACTTTAGGCAAGACTCTGGCCCTGCACAATGTACTATATGTTCCTTCTCTTCGCAGGAACCTTATTTATGGTGCTTTTCTTAACAAAGTAGGAGTTAAGTTAGTCTTTGATGCTAATAAACTTGTACTAACCCGCAATGGGGAATATGTTGGCAAAGGGTACCTAAGTGGGGGTCTCTTTGTCCTTGAAATCTAGTAATGCATTCGAATACTTTGGTTTGTGATCCTTTGTGCTTTATCCATGTTCAATCTTGTTAATTCCTTCCTCCATTACCTCATCGTTAAGCGTCAAAACCCAAACTTGGTTATATGTGAGTTATAGAGCTCTGTCTCGTGGTTGCTTGGGCGCAGGCTACGGCCGCGGGTTTTCCCGCGGGTGGGCAGTTTGTTTGAGTTTCCATAAGAGGCCGCGGGATAGACCCGTGGGTTTTTCCTGTGGGCGCAGGTTCGAGGCTGCGGACGCGGGTTTTGTCGAGTGAAGAGAGACGGTTTTGAGTGCTTTGTTTCCTTTTTCTTTTAATCTCCTCACGTGTATATATACATATATATACTAACCAAAAAATAATTATTGATTATTCACTCCTTGAAACCCTAAACACTAAACACAAACCTACCCCTTGAGATTTGTACCGGTAGTGGCGTATTTCGCTTCTAAGGCAGTGGGTTCCAAACCACGGCACAACAAAAGGAGGTCGGATCTTGATTGATTGTAACATATTGCTTGTCTTTGTTCTTGACTTTAACAGATATTTTCCCAACAGTTAGACTAACAAGTAAATTTTTTACGAGGAAGTAAGAGAGGAAGTATGCTAGCTAACTTCCTTGCGCAACTAGTCTTTTGTGAATGACTTGACTTCTTAATTTAGATATCTAAATTATATGTTTAGTTTTATAACTAGTTTAGTTTCGTGCGTTGCACGGATTATATAGCTATTATTTATTTAAAATAGTTGTTAATATTCTTTATTTGAAAAATAATGTAATCATAATTTCATTAATTTATTTTGAAAGAAATATTGTATTTATTTAATCATGTAAATTTGAAGGGAAAAAAAAGGATTATGTCAAAAATAGTTTAGCCGGGAAAATTTTTCATAAAAAATTGACATGTGTCCTTTAATAATGTCAGCATATAGTTTTTTAATAATATTTAATAGATCTTATTAGAGTTTTATCAACTTTTTCCTCGCGCTTGTTGATCATATCAATAATACTCATAGGAAGCGTGAGTATTAGCACAATTCCATTGTTAAATCATATTTAGAAGATCTCGTATATCTACTTCTTCCTAGTATTAGTGTAATTGGTGGTATCACACATCTAGCTTGTCCTTGTGAAACAGTACATCTGTACATATATATTAACGTCATCTTTCTTTTTTTTTTCTTTTTTTTTTTTTTGTTGTTAAATACTATCGTCATCTTCATCAACTGACTTTTAACTTTAAAGGCCTAATTTAATTTTATTTGATCTCTATTTTCTCAACTTAGGTAAATATGGTGACAGTTGCTACCCTTATTGGCCTAGCTCTTAATAATCAGTTTAGACCAATTTGACAACCTATTCAGTGCACAAATTCTTGATTAAGGCAGACTTTTATTATAAGACGCATTAAAAATATCATAAAGTATTTAAGGTTACCTTACTATTAAAAAAGTTATCATTTTTCTAACATAAATTTTATTGATCCTTAAAAAACACTTATACTGTACTTGTAATATGTATCTATTAGAAATTACATACTCATATTAAAATACAATTAAACTCATCACTAATTAAACACTCTAAAGTTTTCCTACATTTTTCTACTTATTAGTGTTTGCATTTGTACATAATAGTTGGAATTTTTCCTCAAGTTTAATAAAGTCATCCATAGACAAAACTTTCCAAAATTTTAAAAGGAAAAGAGATAAAAATAAAATAAAATAAGAATTAAAATACCATTAAGATAAACGGAGTATTTATGTAAAGTATCTTAACCTTCCTGTTTTATGCTTGTTATACACGCTTGTAAGGCGTGTGAATATATGGTAGTTTTAGGAATATTCCTAGTCATACATAGTCATCTGCATAGTGTATTATAAATAGAATAATCTAATTGCAATTTACAAACGCTAACCACTTTATTCCTTCTTTAATTTGTAGAGAGTACGTTTAACATGGAGAGCAAAAGGATGGTGTTTGAGGTGTTCAACGAGATGCTAAACACGGTACGAGAGTCTAGCCGGCGAAACCCCGAGCTGCCTTCCAAGGTTGTCCGTGATGGAGAGCATTACGAGAAGATGCTAGCTGAGTTACAGTCCCCAAATATTTCCTTCAGTGGCGAACAGGGATTCGGAAGGTATTTAGATTTGAATGAAATTTATAACATGTTTATCAATTCTAAATTTGGTTTGTACTTTACTTCATATGCTGATTATATTGATAACTTTCCTGCGATTGATTTGATTCCTGCAAAATACAAGGCTTCTCGACAGTACAAGGAGTACATCGAAAGTGTTCTTAAGTACTTGATTTCGTTCTTGGAACGAGCAAAGCCTTTGATGTTCTTGGACAGGATTTTCAAGAATCTTGAGTCTGAATTTGAGGAGAGTTGGACGGTTGATAGAGGGAAAAAACGGCCTAGGACAAGGAGTATCGATGATGTGAACGAGTGGCTCGATGAACATAGCACTGTCGAGAGTTTAATTGAGTTAGGATCGATGAAACTTAACGAGGCGTTAAACGCATTGGGGCTTAAGTCTGGGGGTACTATGCATCGAAGGGCAGAGAGGCTTCTCCTTGTGAAGAATATCCCCCTCGAAAGGATGGATCGAAAGCACTTAAAGAAGGAAAAAGGCGATGATGAACTTGATTGTTGTAAAGAAATTGCGCTCATTGAAGCGAAAGTTAACAAGCTGTGTGAAATTCTAAAAGAGACTCTTAAGCGGACTAGGGAACGCATAAAGAACAGGCAGGGAATGAGTTTTGATGAACTCGTTTGTGATCGTGAAGCTGATAATGAGATAGTTGCACTCGACATAGAAAGCAATGGAGAAGAGGACGACAAAAGAAACAATAATAATCCGCTCAAATTGCCAATAAGTTCGGATGGGAAGCCTATACCGTATTGGCTCTACAAGCTTCACAGTCTTCATCAAGAATTCAATTGCGAAATATGCGGGAACTACACCTACAAGGGCCGAAGGGCCTTTGAAAAGCACTTCCATGAAGCGCGTCACCAACATGGTATGCATTGGTTGGGTATCCCTAACACCAAGAGCTTTCATGAGATCACTCGAATCGATGATGCCAAGGAGCTGTGGCGGCAGATTCAACACAGGCAAGAGTCTTTCTTATGGCAGCCTGATGTTGAAGAATACGAAGATGCCGAGGGTAACGTTTACAACAAGAAGACCTACAGAGATCTTGTTAGACAACAGCTAATTTGATTTAACATTAATTATACATCCTTAGTACAATTACTAAACTTATGGAAGATTAGATTGAATTTGAAAATCCAATTTCGTCTTAAGCTTGTGTTTATTAATCAACTTTTAAGTTGTACAAAACTTTTATAAAATTGTAGTTGTTTGGGTCCAATTTAGTCAAAATTGGGCCTAAGCACTAAATGATCCAATTAAAAGCCCAAGGTCAAGGTTCAACTCTCCAATTGTGCAAAAGTCAAAGGTCAGCCCACAAAGCAAGCCAATTGGGCTAAAGCCCAACCTCTCCATGTATGATGAGGTATAAAAGCCATCATATTGATATATTCATATTCTAATTCATATGCTCATTCTTGCATTCAGATATATTCCATAAAAGCCTCAAGCTACAAACTCTCTTGCATAGTGTCTTCCTTTTACACATTGTACTGACTTTAGCATCGGAGGGGCCTTCCTCGGCAACACCCCCGAGGCTAGTTTACGTGTGTTTACTGTGCAGGAAACCTTCGGCCCAACGTAACTTGGACCGAATCCAGTCTTCTCCATTTCAGCGGACCTTCGGCAAGGTCCCATTGTTTTCACCCGAAACAATTTGGCGCCGTCTGTGGGGAAGACTTTCAAAAATCTTTAAGCCAAATTCCTAACCAAGATCATCTTGCAATTATCTTAGCAGCCATGGCTAAGAACCGCAAGAGCAAAAGCCTCCGTCAAGGAGCGGGCGAAAAGCCTAAAACCCCTACACCATCGCCCTCGCCGGACCGGAACTCTCCCAAGGGTGCCGGCTCGGGGGGAGGATCATACAAGGAGGATTCCCTATCTCCTGTAATGCATGACTCTCAATATAGGCCGGACCACTCTCGGTCTAGCAGGGGTCAGTCTGATCATAGGACATATTCAGTGTCCCAAAGCCAACCATCGGCTGCGCGGCCTCATTCCCACACTCGGCCGAGGACCCCTTTGACGGGGCCCAGTTCGGAAGAGGTGGCAAGAGCGCTGGCAGTACTCATGGAGGCAATGAGGGCACAGAATATGCCACCGCCTCGTGATCGAACTCCTCCGCATACCCGGCATCAGCGGAGGAAGTTAGACCATGACGGTGGGAAGCTTCCTTCCTTCCGGGAACTGGAAGAGTGGGAGGAGGATTCTTGGAAAAATGAAAAACAGAGGAAAAAGAACCCTCAATTATTTAAAGGATCCTCATCCTCAAGACCAGAAGCGCATAAGAGCAGCAGCTCAGCTTCTCGGCCAGAATCTACTCGCCGAGAACCTGAGACTGTTCGCAGAAGCGTCCTTGACCGACTCGGCGGCCAGGAACTGAGCGTGCGTAGTCGCCTCTCGTTCCCTGCAGCCGAGGCCCAGACTTCCCAGCCAGGGACGAAAACCACTCCTACCTCTCTAAGAGGGCGGAGCGCGGTCCCTTCGGCCAGGAACAAGGGCAAGGCCGTTATGCTACCCGCTAGTTCACCATTCGAGCAATGGATACTGGAAGAGCGCGTACCCACGGTTAAAATACCGTCGCATATCACATATGACGGGACCACGGATCCGAAGGACCACGTGGCCTCGTATGAGACTCATATGCATCTTTGCCCCAGATCCGAGGCGACTTGGTGCAAATATTTCCCAACCACTCTCAAGGGGGTCGCGCAAGCGTGGATCTCCAAGGGAGTAAGGCAAGGCTCCATAACAGGTTGGGATGATCTGTCCTCCAAGTTCAGGAGCAAGTTTTCCACGGCAAACCGCCGGGAGAAGACTACCGCAGAGCTCATGAGTCTGCAACAGGGGGAAACCGAAAGCCTCCGAGACTACCTGACCCGTTTCAGTAACGAGTCATCAAGCGTCTCCCAGCTGGACCAGGGGTTAGCTGTTTTTGCAATGCAGAATGGCCTTCAGCCAGGAAAGTTCCTAGACTTCATGGTCATGCATACCCCGCAGACCTTGGAGGAAGCTCTTAGTGCTTCGGATAAGTTCATCCGAGCCGAAGAATGGAATAAAGCAAAAACCTAACCTCAATCCGGGGGAGGGAAACAGAGGCAAATACCCTTGTCTGAAGGCCAAGGCCATAAGGCAAAGGGAAAATCAAAGGCTCCGGAGCCATCTTTGGCCAACGACCTAAAGAAGGACAGATTAGCCTCATACACAGGCAGATACGAGTCCTACACTCCGCTCTCTCTTCCACGCGCCAAAATTTACAGTGTGACGAAGGAAGAGCAGAGTTACCGAAAGCCGCGACCACTCCCAGAGTGGTATCAGCGAAAAAATAAAAGTCAGTGGTGTGAGTTCCACGAGTCTTCGAGCCACAACACTGAGGAGTGTATCCAACTGAAGGACCAGATAGAGGACATGGTCCGGAAGGGATACTTGAAAAAATACATCGCGGATCACCGCGAGAAAAAAGAATCCGAGAGGTCAGCAAAGGACCCTCGGCAGGACCTTGATTTCCCCAGGAAAAACAGTAAAAAGCCGGAGGGGAAATTCCCTCCGATCAATGTTATCTCGGGAGGAATATACTCGCGGAGGGAGCACAAGCGCCACCCTAGAGCTTTGACTCACCAGGTGAACAACGCTGACATTCAATCTCCCCAGTCGCCGGTGCCGAACATGACGTTCACAGCCGCCGACTGCCGGGGGATCACGTTCCCTCATGAGGATCCGTTGGTGATCATCGCCACGGTGGTCAATCACGACGTCAGTAAGGTCCTTGTTGACGGTGGCAGTGGAGCAAACATTCTGTTCCGAAAGGCCTACAATCAAATTAAGCTGAAGCCCAAGCACCTTACGCCGGTACCCTATCCGGTATCCGGGTTCAATGGGGCTTCAACTTATCCAGATGGGAAGGTGACACTTCCTATCACCATCGGTTGCGATGAGGCAGCCCGGAACGTCATGATTGAATTTTTGGTCATCGACGCTCCTTCAGTGTACAACGTGATTTTGGGGAGACCCATAATTCACGAGATCCAAGGGGTCGTCTCAACTTATCATCAGCTGATGATTTACGTCTCAGACGCCGGCTTCCCCGAAAGGATACAGGGCAACCAAAAGGACGCCCGAAGGTGCAACTACCTCAAACCATCCAGTAGTCGCCCAGACGACGACAAGGATGAGGAGGGGAAAGGAAAAGAAAGAGAGCCAAGCACAAAAAAGCCGAAAGGCCTAAGTGCTTCGGCCCAAGGATCCGTGCCCAGAGAAAAAGGGCCCGAAAGGGAAAAGGTTGACTCTTCAGCTGAGCCGCAAGACTCAGAGAGCCAGCCGAAGAACACAAAGACTGGGACACCTGCTGACATTGGCAGCAGACCAGATTCTGAAGAGTCCAGTCCATCGGCAATGGACATGGACCAACAGACTGAAACAGTTGAGTTGGCCGAAGGAGATGCTGAGAAATGTGTAACAATCGGGATGGACCTTGATCCTAACACCCGTTGTGAACTTATTCAGCTCCTTCGGGATAACAGAGATGTGTTTGCTTTCTCGGCAGCTGATATGCCCGGGATAAGTTCAGACCTCATCTCCCATAAGCTTAATGTTGACCCAACGTGTCGACCAGTTAAGCAAAAGAAGCGGAATTACTCCGCCAATAAGAACCGAGACATCGCAGCCGAAGTCAAAAAATTATTGGAGGCAGGGTTCATTGAACCTTGCCAATATCCGGAATGGCTGGCAAATGTGGTGATGGTTCAGAAGCCCAATGGTACCTGGAGGATGTGCGTTGACTTCACGGACCTAAATAAGGCTTGTCCAAAGGATTTCTATCCCTTGCCGAGAATCGATCAGCTAGTCGATTCGACAAGTGGCCATGCCTTGCTTAGCTTCATGGACGCATTCTCGGGGTATCATCAGATCTTTATGCACCCCGACGATCGAGCCAAGACAGCATTCGTCACGAACGCTGGGGTATATAATTACAAAATGATGCCCTTCGGATTGAAAAATGCGGGGGCAACCTATCAAAGGCTGGTGGATCAAGTTTTCGCCGATCAAAAGGGCCGAAACATGGAAGTTTATGTTGACGATTCGATCGTCAAAAGCAAAAAACCAGAGGACCATGTAAAGGACCTGGCTGAAACTTTCGCCACCTTGAGAAAGCATCAAATGAAGCTGAATCCGAAGAAGTGTGTCTTCGGCGTGAAGTCAGGGAAATTCCTGGGTTTCATGGTCAGCAAAAGGGGGATTGATGCCAATCCCTCTAAAGTCAAAGCGGCGCTCGACCTTCCTGAGCCGAAAACGAAGCGGGATGTTCAGCGGCTCACCGGAAGAATGGCAGCCCTCTCGAGGTTCATTTCCAGAGCTTCGGATAAGGGGTTACCCTTCTTCAAAGCCCTGAAACTCCCGAAAACAAAAGAGCTTGTTTGGGAGGAAGAGCAAAAAGACGCCTTTCAACAGCTTCGGGAGCATCTGGCTCGACTCCCAACGCTGGCTAGCCCAGCTGAAGGAGAAACTTTATACCTATATGTGGCCGTTAGCCCGGCCACCATCAGCGCAGTATTGGTGAGGGAAGAGAGTAAGAGTCAACAACCGATCTATTTCGTCAGTCATACACTGACGGATGCCGAGACCCGCTATCCTCTACTCGAGAAAGTTGCTTTCGCGGTAGTAGTAGCTGCTCGAAAGCTGAGGCCCTACTTTGATTGCCATCAGATAGTGGTCTTAACTGATCAGCCGTTGGAAAAAGTTCTCGGCAAGGTTGAAAAATCCGGTAGGCTAGCCAAGTGGGCTTTTGAGCTCACCGAATTCAGCATCAGCTACCATCCTAGGGCTGCCATTAAGGCTCAAGCCCTAGCGGATTTCTTGGCCGAATGCTCATACCAAGAAGCGCTGGACAGTGAAAAGAAAGTCTGGACCGTGTTTACGGATGGGTCTTCCACCGAAAACGGTTCGGGGGCAGGAGTAGTGATAACTTCTCCCGAAGGCAAATCCTTTGAGTATGCACTAAAATTTTCTTTTAAGGCCTCGAACAATGAAGCCGAATATGAGGCAGCAATCGCCGGCCTACAATTATGCATCTCCTTGGAAGCCGATCATGTCTGCTTAAAAACAGA